GGGATTCACTGAATGCATTTACTTCCCGGCAGTTCCTGGGCAAGGGACACATCGGATCTCAAGTTTATTCTGAATTTTAAAGCCACCCAGTTGCCTCCAAACACCGGAAGTTCTTGTATGGGCTTTGAGCATCTCCTATGTTGGGCAGAGCGTAGCTCGCTGTTCATCACAGCTAATTTGCATTGAGCTCTAATTTCTTGTTTGCCTTATTTCCCACCAGTACAAAAATGTCTTCTCATCACACAGAAGCGTGAGGAGGCAAGACAGGCAAGGGATCGGCTGATGACAGAGAGGAAGGAGAACAAAGTGGCAGTAATAATAGGTTATTTCGGTATTGCCCGTCTATATGCATGATTCATACACAGGGAAGCGGCCACTTTAGTAGATGGGACTTCCTGATTACCAGGCAGTAATTTCTTTACAGATTTCTATAGGTGAGATAAATGGATAGGTTATAAGGTGAGAGTAAAATGAAGGTGATGCAGGGGTTGTGTGGATGTGGGTGCTTACTGAGAATGGAAAAGTTTGGGGGAAAATGGGAGAAAAGGCTGAGTGAGGCTGCTGTCTGTGAATAGGGGTGAGGCGTCACTTTAGGAAAGACTGAATTGGGAAGGGCTTTGAAGATGAGGACAGAAGGATTGTGTTTGTGGACAGGGTGCCAGGATGGGATGGCTTAAATGGAGGTGAGACAGGCAGTGATGAGGCAGGAGCAGAGCTCAGCCGCACTGTAAATGGGTTGCACAGCGTTGAAGAGGGAGTAGCTAATCCTGACAGAAAGTGGGGGAAGGATTCAAAGGTGCGCATGGCCTTAGTAGAGACCACTGGCAGAGCAGTCAGCAAAGAAAAATGAGGCAGAGTAAGCTTTCCATGTGTGCAGTTATTCTACCACAGGGACATCAGATGATAACTCCTGCCAGCATCTTCTGGGTGCGACAAGAAGAAACATTACCAACTTCCCTCTTAGGCTGTAATTTGTTTTCCAGTGTGTGGAGGGAAAATGTGAAGAGTTCAGAGCTCTTTTTGCCCCCAAAAGTCTGTTTAAGAACAGTCACTGAAAGGTTCATGGTCTGTTTTCTAGCAGACTATCAGCTCTACTCTTTGTAATCTAGCTTTTAATAGAAAGATCCACCATAACTGCAAACTGATGCAAACTTTTACAAGGTCTTCTCAAATAGCTTTTAACCTCTTTTCAGCAATTCTAGAAAGCCAACAGCCCAGTTGATGACATTTGTAATCTACGTCACTACCACTTGAGAGAGCTGATGGTACTAACCTAGCCTTCCCTCCCCAAAGAGGTGATAGCTCCTTCTTTGGTCTTGTGTCTCCTGAGGCTGGAAGCCTGTAAACTGGTTTTCCATCATTGAAGCGAACGGGAGGTAGAGGCTATAGCCACTACTCCATCACTTTGGAGGATGACCAATATAATTAGTTTTCAGTCCTTTAAGCGCATGACCTCCACCCTTTCGCTGTCTTTTCTATGTCTGAAGAAATGAGCTACCGTGGAAATTTGCATCCCCATATTTCAAGACAGCATAGTCCTTATTCTAATTTCCATGTCTATCTTTTAATCAAATAATTTATGGCAAAACACTTTAAAGTATTGTCTTCACTGTGGCAATGCACTGAATTATTGTTCTGCCCACACAGAGAAAAAAAGCAGCGAGTCAAAGATTTAGCAATTTGGCATTGATTTCTGTCACTTGGCAGCAGAATACTGTTCGTGTTGAGAGGCGGCTGCCCCCAGAGTGCCCAAAAGAGGGGGAGGCTGTCATCTCCCAAGCTCCCTCCTCAGTCCCTTTCCTTCCACCATCTGTCTGTCAGAACACTTCATGAATCCCCAAATATTGTTTCTCACAGATTTTTAAAATGCTGAATTTTGAAGACTGTCAATTCAGTCCCTACATGCACACACACAAAACCCAAAGACAAAGCAACTATATGTGTGTGTGTGTGTGTGCATGTATCTAAAGGGATTTCAGAGGAGGAAATTACGTTCTTACAAATTCATTACTGCTGCCAAACTTATTGTTTTTCTGTTAAAGACCAGTTGGGCAGAAAAAAACACTAAAAAGCATCTGTCACAAAATGCAGTGTCAAATGCTTCTGACCATGATGGTCCAGGTTCTCTAGTGTCTCAGTTGCTGCTCTTCTTTTGAAGTTGTTTCAGATGCGCTTGTTATATACAGCTAAAGATCAGACTTGTGGACTTTTGCTCGGAGATGATTTAATTTTTTATGCAAAGTGTTTTTAAATTTTCCAAAGATGTTTTTTCAACCCTGATTTGTTTGAATGTGACCGGGATGTATTGCATTTGCTGTAAAAAAGCTGCCATGAGGTTAGTAGTGCAGATGTCCAGTGGGAAAAAGGCGGTTGTCTGGAATGGCCTCCAATGCAAAGCAAGAGACCTCATCCAACTTCTTCCCCATGCTGAATGAGATATTACTTGAGTATGTACCCGAGTCTAGACTGAAAAACATGAAATGTTTATTGGGCCTTTAACACTAAGTACCAGTATCTCAGTCGTAGGTATCTACAGCTTTGAAGTGGCCACAGCCATGTGCAGTCATCACACTGATTTTCTCATTGTAGTGAGGACTTATATGGTAACTGAAATGATCACACACCATCCATTTAGGAAAAATACTGTTGTGGTTTGATTCCATGCTGTCCCTTCTAATGGTGTTAGTCTAATGTCCTTCCATCAGTCATTGGACTATGCCACATACAGTCATTTAGGAAAGAGGTAGTCCCAAGTGTACCGAGTACAGATCTCAGCTCTAAGCTGTGTTACTGGGAGGAGAAACGAAAGCTGTGGCAACTCAAGCACTATGTGTAGCCAGCGCTGGTGCATCCCAGTCAGAGGGTATTAGTCACTGAGATTTGTCACCAGCTGATTCCCAGAGACAGTTTTAGCAAACCTCTTGGAGTCCCAGGATGGAGCCTCTAGGGTCATCCTCATTTTCCTCTGCTCTTTTGTGCCCTAAATGGTTAAATTATTCTGCTCATTGAGGCAGCACACTGAAAGGATTCAGTTTGTTTTAAAGCCTGAAACATTTGTACAGCTTTGTAGTAACATTTTGAGATAGATCATCCACAAGAACTTCAAGGTCATTCATTCCCAACCGAAGAAATTATGTTCAGAGCAGTCCTTGGGGCCCCTGTCCAGCCTCAGCGCGGGGAGACGGGAGGTTGTGTCGGCAGGACAGTGAAAGTCAATGGATTTCAGCTGGTGCACAGCTTCTCATTTGCCTTGATTTAAAGGTCCCAGTCTCAGTCCTTTATGGTGTATTTAGGCTTCCTTATAGGCCTCCAAGGGACCGCAAGCTTCTTTATTCCTTAAAACTATACCTTGTTGCTGTAATTGAAGCCATTTTGTTACTGTAATTTCTCCCTAATATTACGGTTCTAGTCAAGTGTTCTTTCCCTCTGGAGGCATCAATTATTATGGGTTTTGAATAGGCCTCCCTTCAGTACACATACTTTCACTCCCAATGCCAAAATCAGGTCACTGCAATTCTCTTCCCTAATAAAACATGGTCCTGTGTTTCTTCTTTCAAACCCGATGTATAACATGTACTGGCAACTAATTCCACTTCTTACCACCCTATTTAAAACTCCTGCCGTATTTAAGAAAAACTAAAGAATACTACAGATTTAGTGGTATTTTCTACATTAGTTTTCATGAAGACGTTGAATGTCCAAAGTCCAGGGAGAAATTTATGGGATTTATGCAGGTACTGAACCCGTGTAGATGTGTGCATCGGTGAGGGAGCAGAGGAGCAAGCTGTGGTAGTGCACTTTGTGAAAGGTGTTCAGCTGAAATGAAAATGGCATGGGGTTCATTGGCTAACCCATGCAGGTTTTTCTGCAAGCTGTGGTATTTCGACACCTGGTCCCCACAATTTGATTGGACTCAGTAGAGAGTCCTCACTGTTGTGCACCCCGTGCCTGGTTATGGATTAATCTGCGTGACATCTCTGGGGTTGGGGAGGAGCAAGCTCTGTTTCACAGACTGAGAACTGAAGCATGGGTTTCTCTCTCTTCTTTTTTTGCATAGCCATGAGAAGCAGAAGCTGTTAAGCTCCAAATGTCACTTGCAGACTCCCTTTAAATATATATATCAACTGAAGTTTCTCATTTGCAACCAAGCTAATACTCTGTGTTATTGGATTCATTGTGCTTTATTACAATTATTTGTTTCACAGTGTTCAAACCAAGTGCAGCTTTGCATTTTTGTGAATGATTCCCCCGTGAAACCCTAAAGATGCTTAACTCAGATGGGTGTATGTAGTAGTTATCACCGTGCCATCTGCCCTAAAACTTGCACTTTTCATGAGATGCCACTGCTGGGACATCTGGCACTAAAAATATGTTTTCTACATCATCCCACAATTGAGGAGGATGCCATGGCTGTTCAGCTCCACAGGAGATTCCCTGAAGCATCATTCTGTTATCTAACAGCTTCTGCAATGAAGCTATGGCACTAAACTGGCCAGGGAAGGAATTATGCTATTAATGGGAGGCTGTGGTTTTGCTTTATGGCTTGGGTTGCTGTTAGAAGGGAGTGGCACTTGTGTGATGGATTGATTGATGTGTAGCCAGACTGTCTTATATCCTATAAATCAATAGTTGGTGTGATAGGACTAAAATGACTATGCAATACACTGTAAGTCAGCTTCTATTATCCAAAAGTGAAAGGACTGCAAAATCAATGAACAGCCACATTTCTCAAAGTTTGGCGTGTCTTACTGAACCGTTTCTATATAGCTTGAACCTGCAATGTACCTGGATTTCCTTCTTAATTCACAGAATATTTTCCCCCTTAAAGATGCACACAAAATACTGTGTCTCGAGACTGGGTGGTATGAGTAGGTCATACAGTATGATAGCAAGTATGTCCTGCAGTATGAGTATGTCAGCAGCTTGGTGCTCCCTTGTGCTACACAATTCTTTCCACCCGTGGCAAAACTCACCATATGAGCCTGTGTGTTTTCTTGTAGGAGGTAGAGCTGTGCCGCATTAGCAGCCAGGAGAAGCTGGGGCTGACTGTCTGTTACAGAACCGACGATGAGGAGGACACGGGGATCTATGTCAGCGAGGTAAGGACATGGCAGTGGGAGGAGGGTGGGAGATGCTCGTGGTGGAGGGCTGAACGTGCTAGGGAACATAAGAGCAAGTGCTCTGAGACCAGAGAGCAGAAGTGTTGTTGGCCATCAGGCAGCACCCGTCACTTTCAATTCATTTAGATGATCAGTTTAAATTATGTTGCCCGAGCAGTGTGATTATTACTAGTGATCTTCTTTAATCTGAATGCTTTTAACTACAACATCATAGTTAGGGAAGTACAAAGCAGTCTGAGCATGGTCTGAATTTTGAAAAAAATTTGCCTTTATGTGGGAAATCAGGCAGTTTTTAAGGAGAAAAGTACCTTCTCCACACCCTGCTTGCATTCTCCCCCTGCCATAGCCTCGGTAATCGTAATAACGGATCATCATTATTTTATTATTTGTAGGTTTGTTACAGTTGTGGTATGAACAGACATACCGCCGGTGGGTGGAGAGAGTAGCTTGGGAGAGGAATATGTCAGAAAGACTAATAACTTTTTTTCCATACAAAAAGTAGAATACTGGATACTGAGATGGGATGAACCCTCAGTTTTTCATTGGCTGTACCAGGAAAACATGGCATCCATCACAGGTCACAGAGCATTAGTGTTTCACAGGGTCAGCCCGTGATACTTCCAGGCACGCTAGCTCCCTTTGAGTCCCCAGCCATTTCAAAGAGATTTGTTATTCTGGATAAAGCAGGACTCTTGTGAGTCCAAGCTCACTGGTGAGTGTCCTGCATGAACTATGTTCCCAATTTGTCCATTTCATGACACGTTGAATGAAATTTGGACATTAGAAAAAGGTTCTTTGCTAAGAAGGTGGTCGATCACTTGAATAGGCTCCCCAGAGAAGTGGTCTGGACAACTCTCTTAGTCATATGGTTTAGTTTTAGGTAGTCCTGTGAGGAGCAGGGAGTTGGACTTGATGATCCTTATGGGTCCCTTCCAAGCTCTGAGGTATTTTATGATTCTCTGATTCTGAATTCTAAGCGAAGCTCATGGACAGAGAGGATAGTTAGAGAGAATTCTCCTATGTATGTATCAGTGAATGGGGATGAAGACAAGACTGCTCATTCACAGGCCAGCAGCAATGTCAAAGAAGCTGAAAAGCACAGCCTTGGAACAAGAATGAGGAATTAATGTAAAACTACCCAAGAATAAGTCTTCCACCGGTTGTATAAGCGCTTCTGTCAAAGTCTGTTTGACCTTGTGAGGACAAAGAAAGTGCAGGAATCTCTTAAGGATTCAGATTATATCTGAAATGTACTGGTTTTCCTATGTGGTAGAAATTTCTCAGACCTTTTTAAATGAATGTAATTATATTGTCTTGTACCTGATTAAGCACTTTGGAATAATTTTTTTTCTGTGACAGTGCACAAGAAGAAAATAATATCTAACAGCTGTAGAGGATGTAACCTGCAAACCAAACACACAACTCAAATGTTTGGTTTGAAAAAAATAGCTTATGGCATGACAAGGCAAAATAAATGATTTAAGATAACCATCAAGTGAAAGGTGATAGATCGAATTGCCCTGCAATGAACAGTAGGTCATTGCTCAGGGATGAGCTACAGTGACTTTGATAAATTGTTAATGGAGCCCTAAACATCTATTTAGGTTAAACTAACTTAAAATTAACTGACTCAGACCAGGAACGATAGACAGTACCTGTGAGTGATCTATACAACCCTTTTGCATAGATCCTTTGCGGTTTTTTGCTGTTTCCCCGTGAGATGCAAAATTCCAGAGGAAGTAACAGATTGGTAACTGAGACAATCATTTAATAGCAAATGTTTCCACGAAAGAGAAATAAACCTGCTTCTTTCCCAAAGACAAAGCCCATTTGTATAGAGGTATCAACTGCTGCAGAACCACCTCAGTCCATAGTCAACTTCCAGAGCAGAGGGGTTCTGTCATTAATTCTTAGTGCTCTGACAGCTGAAGGTTAATGTGTGATGGTGCCATGGGAAAGTATTAATCTGAAAATCATATGCTTCCAACGCTTTCTGTCTTTGGGCTTTTATCTGCAACAAGCTTATATAATTATTTAGAGAACTGTTCAGTTCATATGACTGTAAAGGAAACTTCAGCTTGCCTCTGTACAGAGTAAAAATGCTACTTTTTCAAACTGTGCATCTGTTGTCGTTTCCAGTAAAAATCTTTCCATGTTCAGTTACTGGATATTGTCCTGTGCAGGTTGATCCAAACAGCATTGCTGCCAGAGATGGCCGGATCCGTGAAGGAGATCGCATTTTGCAAGTATGTGACAATAGACTCTTCCTTAAACTCTTTCTGCAGACAAACGCGCAGTGCCCTCTTCTCTGTGGACTGTTAATGAGGGAAGGTAGTTCTCTTTGTTACTGTGATCGATGAGAAAATCCATGTCTGTCTGTTTTTTAACGCAATAGCCGGGAGCTAGAGTGCGTGTACTGAAAAATGAGAATGACAAACCTGTTCTGGCTCATGCCCTTATGTCCCATGTCTTTTTTTGCCATATTTATTAGCAAATCTCATTTCCCCTATGTTCATCTCAGTGTCACATTCTAAGTAGGCATCCTGCAGACATAAATATGAGTGTCAGAGACTTGCTGATTATTCAGCGATCGCATAAATTTGGGTAAAACTCACCCGTGCTGAGCATAGATGGTAAGAGTTTTCATACAAAAGATGTGCTGTTAGTGAAGGATGATCTTCAACATACTCGGTGGTGGTGGTGGATTCATTACTCTTTTGTTAACATTTTCTCTCCTCCACCAATAAAACATCGCTTTTCTGAGTTCTTTCCTAATCCACCATTTTGACTTTTTTTTTTCCCCTTCATTTCTATTGATCCGCTCATGGAGGAGCTGCCCCGAAGAGAGGTTCGTGTGATCCTGCATAGCCCTGTGAGCGAGGGTGGCCGGCTGCTGGCTCTGGGGGGTGGGCAGTGTACTTGTACAGAGGGGGAAGGAGCCAGAATGGCAGTGAGTTTCCATTTTCATCTGGCAGGGAATAGTACCTTTTTTTGCACTAGTGACAAAATCACAAAACAGCTACCAAAAATCAGTAGACTGGAAAGTCTTTGCTGTATTGTAGCATTTTAGTTCTGGTTCCCAGTCGATTTCCCTTGTATTTTGACCTTTTTTCACTGAAGCCCCAGAAGCAGGTCCTGGTGTGACAAGTCGCTTTTCTGTAACCAATTCCGTAATTGCCCTTCACTGATTTAGGCACTTGAACTTTCAGGTTGTCACAAGATCAGCCTGTTTTTCACTCTAGTCTTTTCATTTCTGCAGGAAGTGTCTTTGCTGAAACCTGTTGCTGTATCTCTTACCCTGGTATCAGCTTTGGGGGTCTAGCTAACACAACAGGGTCTACGAGCTGCCTTACCGAAGTGGCCCATTTTTTGGAGAGGAAATAATAAGTTACATTTTAATGTCAGGGCTCAGTCAGGGGCTGCTGGTTTACTCCCTGTGTGGTTGGGAATGTGCAAACATTCACAGGACGGTGTGTTCCCCTCCAGAACACACGGGCTCTGTGGTGCGAGGGCAGTGAGCCCCTTGGTAGGACTTGGGGTGGTGGGGTGACGGGACCACATGATGGGGCGCAGCTAGGAGTGGAAAAGTCAGTGTACTGTCTTTTTATAAAATACCTACTGAAGAAAGAAAATGGGATATAATGGTATTTTTAACTTTCAAAAATCAGAAAAACAAACTTGTTTATTAGACCAACTAGAAAAAACTTCCATTCCTACTCTCTGCATTTCAAAATAAGGAAATAGAGGATAGGTCCATTTTCTGCTCCTTTCCTTGCTTTCTAAAATTTCTGGGTGAAGTGAAGAGCCAACAGCATTTCAGGCAACCGTTCTGCAGTTCCTAATGAAATTCATTTCAATTGTGAGTAAAGACTCCGGGGGCGAGGGAAAGGCATAGGTAATTCTGCTGTCCTTTTGTAGACTGGAGCATTACTTTAATGTCAGTGCTGATATATAGCTATGAGTTTGATCATTAAAGTTAACACCCAGAGAATTATGTGGGGTTTACTTTCATATCTGAAAACACATTGACCCTCTATCTACTCTTATTGATGAGATAACTCAGAGAAATAGAAGGTGACAGTGCCATTATGGGGGGATTACACTGGGGCTGGGAGACAGCCAGATCCTTAAGCGTGGGGGTGTTTTCTGTGGGTGGCGGATGGCATTGGTTAAGGCTAGGCGGGGGACACACTTGGTTTTGTGTATTTCTCATGAAATTACAGCAGGTTTCCTCACAGTTTTGAAGGTGAAACTATCTCTTTCTCATTCTCACAAACCTCTCACCTCTCCCATCACCTTCATGGTCTTCTTAAGCATCTGAGAATAGCCTGAGTATCTTACATCAGATGTTACAAAGTCAAGGGAAAGGTTTTATAAGGACAGTCCTAGTGAGACTTGCCTATAACTTCTGCTGGTTTTAGCTGTGAACTTCCAGCTGACAAGTGCTGTCCGTGGGGGTGAGATGCCGTGGGGCAGGCTGAAGTCCTGCTCGTCCCCCATGATGGTGCCGCTGGCGTGAGGTGGGCGCCTCCAGGCTGTGCGGGGCCAGCCCGGCCAGTGCCTCTGGGGTGGGAGAGGGGCAGTTGCTGGGCTGATGGGAATCGCTGGAGCAGCTGCCGTGGCTGGGGCATTTTGCACAAGCTGGGGATCTGCTCCTGGCCCTCTGTGGCTGCATCTCTGCATTTCAGGTTAGGGCAGCTCTGCATTACCAAATGGTTGTCTGGTCCCCCCCAGACCACAGCGACCCCTTCATGTAAGCTTTGAAGGGCCTCAGATATTTCACTCGTTACCAGTTAGGTGATCAGGGTACCCTGGGGTTTTCTTTAATCTGAATTAAAGCTGTGGTTTTGAGTCTTTGGGGACTTTCAGGCCAAACACATGCAGAAATGCAACTTTTTCTTTACTTTTCAACCAAGAAGTTCCTGCTACTTTGAAATCAAACCCATACAAGATTTAATTTCCCCCAAATATACAGATCCTTCTGTCTTCCAGTTTTGTTTTCACTCATTTTCAAGTAGACCAAGTATTTTTTTGTTTGTTTGTTTCCACAATGAGAATGATTCACTTCTTGTGCTGAGAATTGGACAAAACCAAATACATATGGAAAATAAGATTTCTGTTTGATTCCCTCAGTAATGAATTTTGGACAATGCAAAATGTGTTTGCTACCACGTAGTCATGGACGTGAGTGTTTTAATGAGGTGACAGAATAGGAGAAAGGTAGCGAGAAAAGCACGTTCTCATTGGAGAGCCACTTTTATTTTGATCGTCCCCTTGTAAGGGGGATACATATGTTTTGTGTCGTTCTGGATACTAAGCTGTCCACACAAATATAAAATGATTAAATGGAGCAGCAATAAGCAGTGGCCTGTAAGTATTGCCTGGTGAGAGATAATACTGTAGCTCTCTAATTGGCTCTCTATCAGCATACAGTGTGACTGATTTCAGCTGTAGCATTACCAGTCTTGCTTCCACCAGCACTATTATCTCAGAGTGACACTTCCATTACTCTGAACGGAGAAAGATGAACATCACCTGTCAGGGGCTGGTTAATTGTGTTGCTAGATGTATGTTACCAGGGCGCAGGTTGGACATTTATGAACATAACTGCTTCCTCTGATGTCCGCCATCCTTCAACGATCGATACAGCTCTTACAGTAAGCGCATAATTGAGTGAAGGCACTTACCACTGAGGGGCTGAAGATGAGCCCGTTGCGCGAGTTTCATTGTCCATACATTCGGCACAAATGAGCTGATATCTGCCCTTTATTGTGTGTTGCTTTGTGGAAATAGAAACTAATGTGCCACTTTCATTTGTTTTCTAGATAAATGGCCAAGATGTCCAGAATCGGGAAGAAGCAGTGGCATTGCTCTCCAGCGAAGAATGCAAGAAAATCGTGTTGCTGGTTGCCAGACCGGAGATGCAGGTTAGACTAAACAGATGCGCTGAGCCAGAACTCGGGTTATACTGTACAGTCACTGCCACTGTAAGTAATGAACCACTGAGAAATAGGAAAGCCAAAGTACCTGACAAAAGGAGGAAACAGATAACCGCAGAGCTTTGCTCCTGTTTAGCCAACAAAGAAAATAACATGATATCACTAGGACTTGTTCTCCCAAAACTAAGCAATTCCGTTCCAGCAGACAGAGTAAGCAGGTAAGACGAATAAAGCTGACAGCACTGATATGATATTAGTAAAATATGAAGTAGAACTTGAAAACTATGTATTACTTGTTAGATGATTCTTATTTGTTCTGGGGATAAATTACCCATGCTTACCTCAGTCATTTATATGCACTTACACAAAGCTGGAGTTGGTCATTGGTGATGGCTCTTTTTCTCCTATGCGCTTATAAGCAGGTATTTAAACTGTTCATTTATGCACCAACTATGGGGCTTTCACTACAATACCATTAGCAAACCTGGATCTAACCGGGTTTGAAGCACCCTAGTCACAAAAACCCGCTTATACATTACAAATTGTATCTCGGGAAGTGCATTTTCAAAAGCTTTTAGAAACATTTCTGCGGTTTCAAAAATAAAATCATGTCAATGCCAAGAATCTTGCCATGCCAAGAATTTTTTAAATCATTGCAGGGGGCAGATGCTAGGTTGATCATCAGACTAAAGGAGAGGTAGAGTGGAAGAAGAGTACTGTTTGTACTTCCCTTTATATTCTGTTTATAGGCCACTGCAAAGCAAAAAGACATGCTGTCTCTGTTCTCTCCATCTGCCAACAACTCAGAGTTGGTTGTGTTGCCATTTGTCTCTCATGCTATTGATTTGATATTCTCAGTCTCACTAGCTGCATATTCTGTATAAATTAAATTGAGTAAGTGTAATTCAGTGCCGCTTGGAATCTTTACTTGAATACAGTAATTATAAGAGATTCACAATTTCAGCATTCATTTCCTTTGTTTTTCAGGCATCTAAACAATTCCAAATAAAACCGGTGACATAGTGTAGCAAAAAAAAGGCCATGCATCAGTTTATATTGCAAAAATGTAGCCATCACCGGAAGTTGCAGAAGTTTTGAAAGAGTTACTCTATTTTTCACTAAGATTTTGTTTTTCAGTAAGTAACAGAAACCCACCTGCTTGTAAAGTACATGCCCAGGCAAAGTTCATTCTCTGTATTTGTTTAGACTCATCAACATGAAAAAGTTATATCAATATGAGATAAGGAATTACTTACCTGTACCAATATAGTTTCGCATAAGGCTGCTCCTTTCAAATTATAGAAGTGTGGTTTGGTTTGGATTTGGGGCTTTGGTGTTGGGTTTTTTGTTTGTTTTTTGTTTTAAGAACATATTCACGCAAAACTGAAGAAAAAGCCATAGAATGTCAGAAATCAGGCTGTCCACAAGCTGATTTTTGCTAATTGTGTTGCTTTGACTCTGGTAAAAGACAGCAGGATTAAGCAGGCTTTTATTCCTAGATAGAAAATGGTAATGGCCGTATTGCGATCTTGAAAGGTGACTGCTGAGCGCTCTCATTTGGTAACAGGGAAGAAAACCTTCCCTGACCATTTATTTGTGCTGTGAATACCAATGAATAATTAAGTTTTGAAACAGCACCAGAGGAGTGCACAGCCTGTTTAATATATAAACAAATGGCACAGGCATGTGCATTCGCATGTGAGTATGTGCACACAGTGTATGTAGTGCACATGTATACTAAACCATACATTATTTTTATTCTAAAAGCTGTAACATAACGTAAGCATCCCCATTAGTTACGTACTGGGTCTGCCACAACCAAAGCAGCAGATTTGCCCAAGTGAGATTCGTCTTTGATCCTCCAGATTTGTTAGTCTCTGCAATTTCCTCAAATAAGGGAAATTTAACTGCATCCTTGGTGGTAGAGGAAAGCTGTGCTCATGCTTTTCTAGAAAAGAAAGTAAACAAGACAAGTAAACAAAACTAGTGGCCAGTACCAGATGTTTCAGAGAATGGTTTGAAAGTCCCATTAAGGACAAACATAAAAATTACATGTCCTAAGGTAAAAAAAGCCTCATTCTAATCCAAATTCATTCAGAGGCTGGGTTTGCCAAGGAAAATGGTAAAAGGTTTATGTTCTTTTATTATAAGAGGAAAGAGTTCATTGGCGTGAGCAAAACCACATCAGAGTTTGTGAAGGAAACAGTGGTTTCCTGCCAGTATTCAGCTAGAAGTACCATACAGCATCAGTCACTCCTTGTGTAGCTTTAACTACCCCTTGCTGGTTTGGTGTAACTTTTCTGACCGGCATCTGCAGCCAGAGCTCTCCTGGCTTTGATGCCATGGTACTTCTGCTGTAGGTGTTGGCCCGTGTTACACCGCTCTTGCTGTTTCAGGACATGAATAGTTGGTACTCTTGTGGTTGTCTAATGCCAAGACGTTTAGCATCTTTTGGTCACCTTTTTCTTCTGGTTCCTTCACCAATGACAAAACAGTAAGTGTTTCCTTCTGCTGTGGTCCCATCCTCATAGCCAGGAGTGTCACTGACCAGTATTTTCCTTTTCAACGCAGTACACCATCTGCCAAGGGATTACAAACGCAAATGGACGTGCGCCACGTGCACAATGAGCAACATGGGAAGAATAGCATTTTCGGCTAGGGATGCCTGGTTTATAAGTTCAGAAAGATGTGAAGGGTGCAAAGTGGGTGTGGAGAGAGGATATACTCACTTGACAGAAAACATAGCATCCCCTCCTGTCCTTTTGCAACACCGTCTTCACCAAATGTCAAAGTATTATTTTACACTTGGGGAAAGAAGCAAACCGACAGATAAGCCTTGCTTCCAGGCACACCGCGAGAACAAAAATAACCTCCCTTCAAATCACCATATCTTTCTGTCACCTTCTTCTGTTTGTTTGTTTACCTAGAAGATCAATGGGAAAACGGTGACAGAAAGGCAACATAAGGTTCCTATTGAGGTGGCAGCAGCAGGGCACAGCGCGGGGACGGAGGTTGTTAGAGGAAAGAGCCCGGTTGCCTCCTGGCCCTATTAGTAACATTGCCACTCTTCCAGCACGGGGGCTCTCGGCAGTAATGAACATGACAGCTTCAGGATTATGCGCTGCGCCTTTCATACCTTTTGAAAGGAAATAATGTCTGTGCTGTGCAGTCTCCTTCATTATGAGAGAAAATCAGTCACACTGTTTCAAGAAAGGATAAAAGGCACAGGAGTCCCATTTTTTTTTTTTATCCTCCTTCTTCTTCTCTTTCTGAGACGCCTGGCTTTCTGAAGAGAATCATTAGGATAAAAAGAACTAGTCAAGCATTGCCATTTGGGTTTACCCTGTTTTAGCATGTGTCCTTGCTAACATAATATAATGTACTAATGTATTCTTTGCAGCTGGAAGAAGGGTGGCTGGATGATGAAAGGAATGAATTCTTAGAGGAGTTAAACTTGGAAATGTTGGAAGAGCAGCATAATGAAGCGATGCAGTACACAGCCAACGAGGTGGAGCAGGTAGGACTGCTACTAAACGTATCATTTGAAATTTTGCTGGGTATACTTTTTTATTAATAGGGAATGAAATGGTATGCTGTAAAATTGAGTCAAAGGCTTTGATAGAATTCTGTCTCTAAAATGCTGTGAACTCCAGCATGCTGTACATGAGGAAAAGGAGAACAATAGATGCTTAGGCCCAGTATCACAAGTTAGCAAACAATTTAAAAGGCTGTGATAAGTGCAGATTTCTCATTTTGTCTGACCTCTCAGAATAATACTGCTTTCCTTCTTTCATTCTGAAGTGTTCGGGGTTGATGTTGTTGTATTTTATGTCACATTTTTTTAATGAATTGTATCAGTCTGGCACCTAGAGCTCCAAGTTGAGATTGACGTCCCTCTTGTTGTGTGCATGTGAGGTATGAGCCAGCCCTTGCACCAGAGAGCTTGCAAAACAAGACGGAAGAGGTGTTTAAAATAAACAACAGGTGTTTTGGTAATACAAGTGTATTTTTCTTATACCGACAGCGCACAGCTCAGCATTTGTTTTGTTAATTGAGACAAATAAGCAGACTGTTAGCATAGTCTCAGCTTGCTGCTATCCTGACTTTTACCTGCCCATATGTGCTGTAAGCGGTGTGACTATGGCAAAGACGCATGTGCACCCCCAGCCATACAGTTTCATCCAGGGATGGGTCTTCTGGGTTGTACTTTATCATGGAGGGCATAAGTGACCTTACCCACACCTGATGGTCTGTCAGCATGCATACCTATGTGGAGCCAAGGAAATGAGATCCAACTTCATCTCCTGGCTTCTGTGCGTGGGCAGCTGGGGAGAAACTGTTTTTCCACCCACATAAATTTGTGACTGACTTAGAATTTTTTCCCCATTCTGAATTTCTTGAAAGCAGAGCCTAAGGCATTTGTCTTTGAGGTGAAGAGAGGGAGAAAGACTATGAGAGCCTTCCTTCTTCTGGAAACCAAGGAGCTTCTTTGGCTAACAGGAGACCTGACTTCAGATACCTCACTGCCTGGTCCACACCAGGGGCATTTAGCCTGTGTCCTCCTCCCCTCCCCTACAGCCTTGATGCTGGGCTGTTGATGCAGTGATAGCTCCTATTAAAGCTACTCACTGGACATAAATTAAATATTCATTGGGACAGAGACACTGACAGAATAATTAAGTCAATTATCTGCAATATGATAGATCTGATTACAAATCCTTGGTCTTACAAGCATTTAATTATTTACACAAAGTGGAATAACTCCAGGGTCAGAGGTGAAGGGAGCCTTGCAACAGGATTTATAGTGGCCTTTTAGTTATGATCCTCTTTTCCAGTGATCCAAGCCTCAGTTTCCCAGGTTAAGTGTGCTAACTACAGCACTGCTAGCTACTTTGAACTAGTATTTGGCATCTTGTTTATTTTCTGAACCACAGATTTTATCTCGGATAGCAAAAGATTTCCTGTCAGGAATAACACTTGTTCTTCACAAAGCAATTTCCTTTGCACAGTGACATTTTCACACAAACCCCCACTTCTGGAAGAAATTCTTGAGCAGGTCCCTCTACAAACCCCTACTAGCCCCTCGCGCGATGTGTTGGGGCCTCTGACATCACTTCACCATTGTGACCTTCCGCGCCCAAGTTCTTGTCAAGTTTTGGCTTTTTCACCGGATTTGGGTTGCGGATAGTGTTAATTTTTGAACAGCAGTGTTCTCTGAAGTGGTTTCACAGGAGCCATTGAGATTGCTTATTCCCCATTGGGATCTTATACTAAGGATACAGGGGTTTTCCCCTATTGAGATTTTATAGTACTGTAGGAGAGAGCTACACTTGAAAAAGTTATGGGCACTTACGCTCTCTCAGTGTCTGACATTGGGTTGCTTGAAGTAATTCTAGGACAGCCAGACATTTCTTTGCCCTTCTGATGAGTAATTGAATCAACCAAATGCAGCTTGGTGTGTAATGGGGCATCAGTAATTTGTGACAGCTGCTGTCTCTCTAGACTCTACATAGTGATTCGGCAAGTCAGAAAACTGGTTCTTTACTCCTTGTTAGGCTGGGAAACCTAACAGTTTCCTGAGGTGAATCACATAATCCATTGGAGCAATGGAACCACTCTGGCTGCAGCTGCCAGTGGCCAAGCTGAGGATCTTCAACCTCCCCAGTTGCTCATGGAGATTTTGCTTTAATTCCAGCCTTGATTTTTGTGAACCAAAACAGAGTCCTCTGGCTTCATTGTCATCTGCCGTCATGAATCTTGCGAGCTGCAGGAACAAATACATGCTAGAGCAGAATATCCTTCCAAATATGAGCCTGTTTTACAGAATGCCATTTTAACATTGAGTATAAGCTGTCACAGAAAAATCTGGTACAGTTTGTAATAGAAGAATTAAGTAGATAGTCGTGTCTTTTCTGTATGTTTTTGAGACACTCTATAGAATTTAATCAAGAATTGTATCTTCTCTGTATAGGATAGTCCAATAAACCTCGAGGAAAGATGTAATTCTCCATTTTTTATAACTCATTGTATTCGTTTCCCCTTTACAACATCGCAGTTCATTGTGCAGCAGAGATAACTTTTAGAAGAATACCATACATTTGCCGTGCAGAAATTCTTATCGGTATCATGGAATATATCAAAACCTATTAAGGAGAGAAAGAATTGGATAAAAAAAAATCATTGGAGTTCATTCAAAGCTGAAATGCAGTGAAAATATCTGGGGAATTCTTTTTTTGGGAGAGGCCTGTTTTAAAAGAACAGCATTGCTTGCAGAAAAGCATTTTCCCTTTTAGTGTACCACTGAAATCAATCTCAGTCTCCCGTCATGGCTGGAGTACCTCGTGGTTAGCTTGGTGTGTAATGGGGCATCAGTAATTTGTGACAGCTGCTGTCTCTCTAGACTCTACATAGTGATTCGGCAAGTCAGAAAACTGGTTCTTTACTCCTTGTTAGGCTGGGAAACCTAACAGTTTCCTGAGGTGAATCACATAATCCATTGGAGCAATGGAACCACTCTGGCTGCAGCTGCCAGTGGCCAAGCTGAGGATCTTCAACCTCCCCAGTTGCTCATGGAGATTTTGCTTTAATTCCAGCCTTGATTTTTGTGAACCAAAACAGAGTCCTCTGGCTTCATTGTCATCTGCCGTCATGAATCTTGCGAGCTGCAGGAACAAATACATGCTAGAGCAGAATATCCTTCCAAATATGAGCCTGTTTTACAGAATGCCATTTTAACATTGAGTATAAGCTGTCACAGAAAAATCTGGTACAGTTTGTAATAGAAGAATTAAGTAGATAGTCGTGTCTTTTCTGTATGTTTTTGAGACACTCTATAGAATTTAATCAAGAATTGTATCTTCTCTGTATAGGATAGTCCAATAAACCTCGAGGAAAGATGTAATTCTCCATTTTTTATAACTCATTGTATTCGTTTCCCCTTTACAACATCGCAGTTCATTGTGCAGCAGAGATAACTTTTAGAAGAATACCATACATTTGCCGTGCAGAAATTCTTATCGGTATCATGGAATATATCAAAACCTATTAAGGAGAGAAAGAATTGGATAAAAAAAAATCATTGGAGTTCATTCAAAGCTGAAATGCAGTGAAAATATCTGGGGAATTCTTTTTTTGGGAGAGGCCTGTTTTAAAAGAACAGCATTGCTTGCAGAAAAGCATTTTCCCTTTTAGTGTACCACTGAAATCAATCTCAGTCTCCCGTCATGGCTGGAGTACCTCGTGGTTGGCCTGCCACTGGAGATCCCTCTCTACTGTGGTCAGTCTCAGTGGTCAGAGAGTGACTGGAGAGCCCAGCAGCTACGGTTATTAAAACCTTTGACTGAATCTCATGTCTTCAAACTTTAGTAGCAGCCTGGGTTTTGAGTCCCAATATACATCATAAGTTGTAAAATGAGAATAGAACAGTGCCTGAATTCCTGCAAGATTAGCCATTTTATAGGCATGGATGCTTGCTGGAGCTGAAATGCGGAATCTTTTGAGGTTCATTTATTGCTTGATTGTACGCACTGCCAGGTTTGCCTTCTCATTATCTGAGTTCTCACTGCAAAGATGAGGCCTAAGGAGCCCTTTGGTATTTCAAACAGAAGTAATTGTAAAAGAGATTGACAACTTATGTTTGAAAACAAACACTTTGTTTGGAATAGATAATGGATAACACTGTCAAAAGCAACGCACTGACAATTGGAGACTATCTCTTGTTTTTCAGAAGGGACTTAAACGTGGAATTAGGCCTGCTACCTTTCAAAATAAAATTAAAGTAATCTCATATTGTAAAAGACTGCTCAGTCTACACAGGTTTAGGAGCTCTGGCAAGCATGACAAGTCCAGGACAGAAATGCTGGGGCTGCCTTACTTGAGTCACAGTGGATTTTTTAAAAAATAAATCTCAAAAACATGCAGTACAATATATATCTGTATTACTTTCCTTGTTCTTAATTGGACTAGCTGCAAGTATCCACATACTGGGAAAAGATTTAACGCGATATGGATGTCTGCTTTAGGTGGAGAAGAATCTGATTGTACAGGCACTTGTTTCTTCCTGGCAGGGAGGGCAACCCCAAGCGACTGCCTGGCATTCGGGTGCCTGGTCTATAGACACTTACATTTGGCAAAATCCGTCCCACCCGTCTGATTTCTGTTAGACTGGAAAGATGGGGTTTGCTTTGTTTACATCCTTTTGTGTGTGTTAATTATGGATAGCGTAACTTGAGTAGATGGCAGTGTGTTATATTTACTCTGTCTCAATCAAGTGGAAGTTGAAGGAGCGAAGTTTAAATTGTTGATAAAAATGGTGTGGAAAACAAGACTCACTAATTCTGAAAGTGTTGATTGCGTGGGCCTGAACTGTAAAGTCTGTTTCAACACCTATACGAATAGATACATTAAGGGATTTTTCAGAAGTGCTCAAATACGTGCTTTGGTGGTGTGGCACCATGCTGGAGACATCAGAGGAACCATCATGGAGCTCAGCTCCTGTAAGGTGTACTAACACAGTATGGATAAGTCCTCTTTAGGGGGTAGGATGAGTTTAGCAAGTTGTGCTACATCACTCACCCTCAGGGTCAGCGAGCAGACCCTGGCCTTCCTTGTTTGCTAGCGTGGACGGAGGCCTGCATTTGGGGCAGGCAGCCAAATTGCTGGCTGTTCTGCCACACAGCTCTCCCAGTGCCTGGGAGAGCTCCTCTCCCTCCTGTCAGTAATTAACTGTTTCCCAGAGCAGTGAGAAGCATGTGCAGTGGCCAGAGGGCAGTGTGGGTGGCCCAGGGCAGAGTCATTTCTCTGCTGAAAGGTCTGGGGGCAGAGGAGGTCACCAGAGGCTGGAGCAGCTCCAAAGCAGGTGAGAGAAGGGACCAGAATAGCTTCTGTAGTGGCACACACCTGGAGGAGGTAAACTAGAAGAAAATATGAAATTAAACCTAAATCTCCAGCATTCCCAGTGAATGCCCTGACCACCTGGCTGGTTGGGGTGCTCTTCTTTCCAGTTACTCTTGGTTTTCATGAAGAATTTTCTAGACATTGGGGTTTTTCTCTGTGTAAAATATGATGATTTGGAACTCTTAAAAGCCAGGTGATGTGGGAAGACATTGCATTCCCACCACTTCTCCAGCTACTCCTGAAAATGCAACTGAAGTGTTGCAGCCACTTTGGGAAAATATAACGAGAGCCTTAATAAAAAATCTTCTGATATACTTTATACACCAGAGCAGTGCATAAGCTGAGGAAAGAAAGAATAGATAAATGATAATTATAGAACAATTCTACAATAGTTAGTTATTTAGAGTGTTATCGGTACTACTCTTCATATTGCTTCTTCCTGTGACAACGACAACAAGATATCCTTACTTTTTAAGCAGATAAGTGGAAAAATCTGAGAGATCTCAGACCGGGAAAATACATACCACTGAATTTTTAAAACTCACAGCATTTTCGTGAAAGTCAGCCTTTGATCCTTGCAGTTTCAAAATCTAGTTTCTAGAAAATTCTGATGCTGCAACATCAAGGAACATTGAACCTTTGCATGATGCCTTGAATAACACTGAGTACATTCTGTCCCATGATGTTTAAATTCAAGGGGGGAGTTTCTCCCAATCTGGGGAGAGTGAGCCATAGTAACTGGCACATTGCCGCTGTGGCTGCCAGAGCTATATGAGCCTTATACATTTATTGTGCATTTTGTTACCAGCTGCACCTTGTATGTGCAAAAGGATGAGCGTGAAAGGTATGCTACCATTTTGCAAGTCTTGTCTGACAACAAATTGCTAAAATACCTTTTCAGAAATCTTTAACTGGTCTGTCACAGACACTGGTGTTGTGTTTCTTCCAGGATTTATTTTTATTCCACTATTATGTTGTATTTGGGGGGTGGAGGTTATTTTTGGTTTTCTGAGATTAGGCCATTGTTTTTTCCTAACAATTGAAGAAAGGAAACCAGTTGAAGGGGGTGTGATCGTGAGATGCGCATGAAGAGAGGAGAAAGAATGAGATAGGAGACACATTTTCGTCCTGTTTTACTGTCTGTCAAAGTAGAGAAAAAGGGAATTATGACAGTGGCCTTTCTGAGTTTGTTTCTTTTCACTGGGTGCACTGCGCCTTTTTTCTCCCTTGATTATTACTGCCATTATACATAATTACACAATTATAGCTCCTAAAAGAGAAATGGCATTTGGTTGGTACTATGTACACTTAGATATTTGGTGAACAGGCCATATAAATTGCACTCTGCATGATTGCTCTGTGAGGGGAATAGGGAGGAATTCTTTGCTTATCCAGTTTAAAAAATAAAAAGCGTCTGTCTCTTCAGAGAAGTATTATCTCACATTCTTTGCAAATATAAATAGGTTGAGAATATAAATAGGTTAGGTGCAATGAGTGGAGTGTGAATTAAAAAACAACAGCCTGAAAGCTTGACATTATGCCCATGGCAAGCACTCAGTCTTGTTCTACGCTTAATGGTAAAAGGCTGTTTTTATTTCTAAGGATCATAAACTCTAACTAGGGAACAAAAATGGTCTCCAGGGATGCAACAGAAAGAGGTCTACTTGAGCAAAATCCTAGAATTCAAAATGAACAGTCTTTCGGAAAAAGACTACTGAAAACAAGAAGTGTGACAGAGGGCCGTGGAGGGTGTGGTGGAACAGGCTAGCCCTCTGCAGGCTTCAGCCCTGCCTGTCTCCACGGACCAAACAAGGAGTTCACTGGTTAAAAAAAAAAACCCAAACCCCAAAAGCCCCAGTGATGAAAGTAGTCTTTTTGCACCCTCTTAGATTGTACTAGTCATTGTTTGATGGGCTGCTCGCTCTGTTTTTTTGAAGTGATAGCAGTACTGAAGCTTTTTCCCAAGTTTGAGAAGATTTCAGCTCCACCAGTCTCTGGCCATAGTCCAGAATCAAAAACAGTGCACCATCTGGTGATCATTATCTTTAAGCACTGCAAAGAGATGGCTTAGCTAAAGAGGGAAATACTTCTTTCCGGACTTTAGAAGATATGTCACTAGTGCTGTAGTTCATCTGCTTCACTCGGTATGGCCACCACAGCATGACTCTCAGAAATGTTTAAAAGCTATGAGCAGTAGGACTGCTGTTTAGTGTTCTGTTTTAATTTGGCTTAAATCAGATCCCAGCTGTTTAAGCAAAACAGAGCTGGAAAATATTCTCGTATACTATGGTCTGCACTTGATAATCATTTTGGTTTGCTCATTCTTTTAGCCAAAGAAACACGAAGAGGAGGATGGCACTACAGACACTGCAACCTCATCATCCAACAATCATGAGAAGGACAGTGGGGTGGGACCTACCGATGAAAGTCTGCGTAATGATGAGAGCTCGGAGCAAGAAAATGCACCTGAGGAGCAGAACAGCGCTACCCTGCAGAGCAAACGGGAGCTGGGCCACAGCCAAGATACGTTAGGAAGTGTTGAGCTCCAGTGCAATGAAAGCTTTGTGTCTGGGGAATACATTGAGTCTGATTTCATAGGAAACCCAGAGGAGGAATGTGAAAGGTTTCGGCAGCTGTTGGAACTGAAGTGCAAGATTCAAAACCACGGGGAGTATGACCTATATTACTCGAGCAGCACAATAGAGTGCAACAGAAGAGAGCAAGATGGAGTGGAGCATGAGCTGCAGCTACTCAATGAGGAACTGAGGAACATTGAACTCGAATGCCAGAATATTATGCAAGCGCACCGGCTCCAAAAGGTGAGGGATCAGTACGGAGACATTTGGGCTTTACATGACGAAGGGTTCAGGAATTATAACACCAGCATAGATGTACAAAGAGGCAAACTGGACGACATCATGGAGCACCCTGAGAAGTCCGACAAGGACAGCTCCAGTGCCTACAACACGGCTGAAAGTTGCAGGAGCACTCCACTGACCGTGGAGCGGTCCCCCGATAACTCTCTCCAGAGGATGATCAGCATAACCAACAGGAAAAACCTGAGGAGCACAATCGTGGCTAATCAGTCATCCTCAGGGCAAAGCAACAGGGAGACAACCTCAGCCAAAACCAAACCCACTGAGCAAAACAGCGCTGCTGAGGACGCGGTGCTGGCATCAGAAAGCGGCAAATTCACAGACCAGGAAAAGCAGAGCAGCGAGCACATTCCCTACCTGTCTCCATATCACAGCTCTTCTTACAGGTATGGGAATATACCTGCTCATGCAAAGCATTATCAAAGCTACATGCAACTGATCCAGCAGAAGTCCGCTGTGGAGTACGCCCAAAGCCAGCTCAGCCTGGTGAGCATGTGCAAAGACTCGCAGAAGTGTGCGGAGCCCAAGATGGAATGGAAAGTGAAAATAAGGAGTGATGGGACGAGGTACATCACAAAGAGACCGGTTCGAGACAGAATCCTGAAGGAACGTGCCTTAAAAATTAAAGAGGAACGCAGTGGGATGACGACAGATGATGATACGATGAGTGAGATGAAGATGGGTCGCTACTGGAGCAAAGAAGAGCGGAAGCAGCATTTGGTGCGAGCTAAGGAGCAGAGGCGGCGGCGGGAGTTCATGATGAGGAGCAGGCTGGAGTGTCTTAAGGAAAGTCCGCAGAGTGGCAGCGAGGGCAAAAAGGAGATTAACATTATTGAACTGAGTCACAAAAAGATGATGAAAAAGAGGAACAAGAAAATCTTGGACAACTGGATGACAATCCAAGAACTGATGACACACGGTGCTAAATCTCCAGATGGCACAAGAGTGCACAATGCCTTTTTATCAGTTACTACTGTATGAACGCAACTTCTTTCAGAGAGTATACTACCAGTTTAGGTAGAGTACGATTGCCTCGTTCAATGTGGCATTTTTATATATTTTGTGACTGTTTATAGTTTGACCTTTTTTGTAAGCAAAATTACCTGGTGATTTTTCATTTGTTTTTCATATAATGGTACCTTCTTTATCTGGCAGTCTTTCTTTATCCTGCAATATATTCATATTATTCATTTGTAGAAAAAAAAAAAGAAAAAGAAAAGCAAACCAAAAAAAAGTGGAGAAGCCAATTAATTTCTTAATCTAATACATATCCTGCAAGTTAAGATCTGGATTTATTTCTCTAGTTTTCTTTTTTCTACTTTAATAACAATACAATACCAAAACAAAATGCTTTATACTGTATCCTTGGCTTAACAAGTTTTAAAGTTTTACATCTTAGATTGCATCTGTTTATAAATCATATGCCACATCCCATCGTATAGAGAAGAACGACATTTTCCAGCTACACATTGTACAGTACATTTAATCTGTAAATTGCAATTGTATTTGTCCAAGTAAAGTGTAGGTGGGCAATTCTCCTGTGTTATGTAGTGGCATTGGTCATGTAGCTGGGCAGTATGTGATAATTGTGAAGATGAAAGAGAAATAAATTATTGCTTATCTTTACGAAAAAAAAAAAAAAAGCCAAGAGTTCTTTGATTTAAATTGAACATTTGCCTTTAAAAGATGAGTCATTTCATTATGCATGATATTTACAGCTTATAGAGATTTCAAAAACACAGGGCACAATTCCATAGATGAGTTCTTATGAATTATCTTTTAATTTTGCAGAACATGCAGAGTGAATGGGTCTTTCTGGCTTTCTCTTACCTGCTGTTATTAGCTGATTGAATGATTCATTGATAAATATATCAACTGTGCTGTATGCTGTCAGGTAACAACTCTGGGTCCTTTCCCTGGCTGAGCTTGCTATTTGCTCTACTCATATAAAACATAAAGAGAGCATATGCCTAACTTTAAGCCAAATCTCGTGCAAGAAAAACTAGCAGTAGCTGTCACTGACATTTTCATAGAAGATGAGTTAAAGGAAAAATAGAGAAGGAAAGGCAACTAAATGCATTAAGGATTGAACTTTATTGTTGAGGAGCACCCAAGTCTTTTAGAAGAGCCCCAGTGGGAGCCGGCTGGGGCTCAAGAGCAAGGGCAACTTGCCACCTGGGTGCCTGATGGCCTAGGACACTGTCTCTCTTTGTCCCTCCCTGCACAGAGGCACCTGCTGGCAGCCCAGTGAGTTACAGCAAGCTGAAGTGCGTAGTCCTGGGCAGTCAGCTGGCTTGAAGACTTTGCCTCATAGTCCCATTTTCGTTGTCCCTGCAGTCAGTTCCTAGCTGACTGAAGTGCTTTTGACAGCAGGATTAGGTGCTGAAGGAGTCACTTGGCATCAGGCTTTAAAAGATAAGCTTAAAGATGCAGAAAGGCACATTACAGTATTTCCAAATTATCCAGTTCTGGAAATCAGTCATTTGTTTTCTAACCACTTTTGGCACTGGTAGGCATTGGCAGTGCTCTCTGCATCTCCAGGCGTGTAAATAGTACTCTCTGAGTGCTTAGCAAAATTATGCCACTGACAGTTCACAGTTTGATAATCAGAAAATTCTCCCCACCAGGCTCAGGGAAACATCACACTAAATCCTCACTAAACATGCAGCTGTTCATGTGCGATGAAGAATACTTCCACTGTTTCCCATTAAATTAGAAAAGGTGTGAAATCCAAGGCCAGAGAGGATCACGGTGCGATATAGTACTGCTTCAAGGACCCATTACCAGATTGTCCTTCCAATGAAGCCAGAGAATTGTCTTTGACTAACCTAAGTCACCTAAGAAGGTGCACGTTCTTGCTCTGGAGACATCAAAGCACAGAGGTTTGGCTGTTTCCCTCATTGCATTCCAGTGATCGCACTCATAAAAACAGGTCTTGTTCCTAATCAGTGTTCAAGCTGCCATCACCTCCAGATCATGGCTACTGTTATGCCTTTCCCTTAGACACATTACTTACTATTTTCTTCCCATTTTTAAATCCTCAGAGCACCTCTCAAACTAACTATTATGACACCCAAATTCAGAAAACATCCTGAATTTTCAGAAAATGTAATACTATTATTGCATCACTGAGAAATAAAATTAGGAAAACCCATTACTAATTAGAGAAAAGACCTAACTGGATGGAGGGGTGTATGTGTGTGTTAAGTACTAGGGAATAATTAGAGAAACAAATAATATGTATAGAGATTATTTATTGATAGGCTGTAAATGGAAATATCTGCAAAGCTGAGGAGCCCTGTCAAAATCTAGTGAGAGACAAAGAGAAGACTGAGAGGTGATACAGCAATACTGCTGGTGCACAGCGTGGCGTGGTTTTTAGCTCAGCATATGCCTGCCAGAGCCCAACCACCTTCTCCCTCCTTCTTCACCTGCTGGAATCGGCACGTCCCTTCCCAATCCTTAATCCATGGGGTTTCTACCAGCCCAGGGTTTTCTCTCCTTTCTTCGTAACTATGGTTATTAAGTGACATTTCCTTTCTTCCCTAAGCAGTCTTTAGGAGATGAAGTGCCTTGATCTCTTCTGCTAGCATGGGAAATAAACAGGCGTCCCCAGCCCGGGGTGGTGATGCAGAGGGGCTGAGTGGCAGGCGAGTGCTTCACTGCCCGTTGCTCTCAGCTCGTTTCTTTGCAGGACAGGACTCAGCATTGCGCTCCCTCATCCCAGTAGTTCTTTATCAGTGAAATCCAAGGCTGACATCCCACATGCTGTTTATTCCTGCATATACTTTTTTCCAAATGTCATAGTTTTTAATGAGGAAAATAACATTTTAGCACCAAGGCAAATTAAAAGAGAAGAAACAAAATACTTTTCACGTTGTCATAAATCTTTAAACTAAAAAGACTTGTCTGTTGTGAGAACTATTTTTTTCGCGTGAAGGAACACAAAAATAAAAACACTTTCCAACTGGAAGAAGACCAGATCTTGCTTAAGAGGGTTGCTTGCAGCTCTGAGATGAAGAGCAAAAGACAGGGAAGAGGAGCTGCATAGGTATGTTATCGTGGCCACATCACTGCTGGGGAAGGAGTTAATGTCCCACTCATCCTTCCCCCAACCCTGGTACCCAGCTGAGACCAGTGGGAGGTCATTTTTCCTATGAAGCCAGCAAGATGGCCTTGTAAAAACAGTTATCTCGTGTCACTTGACAACTGTATTGACAGCTGATTCAGGAGCATTGCTTACTGTAAGTAAGGTTAAAATCTGTAGGATTCCTGGATCTTCCTCTCCAGTGTAAGTATTCTTAAAGGGAAAATTGCATTTTTGGTATGATCATGACAATAAACTAAGCCTACTGCATCAGATTATTATGTTTTTCAAAATAAAGAAATTATAACATTATCTGAATTGAACAAGAGCAGAGATTAAATCTTCTCAGTGCTTGATGCATTGCCCTGTAAGAGGGCTACAGGGATCTCAGAAGAGATGATACAGCAACTTCAGCATTATGCCTTCTGAACTTGTGGGGATTGAATTATTCATTAATATCATGATGCCTGACTTCTTTTTTGTTTAACTAATGTTCATTTCCAACCCTGGTTTCTTGGTGCAAATTATAGAAAAGCACCCTTGGTGCATGACATGGCTTCAGTGTTAAAATACTTCCTTAGTCAAGTCTGGAATTACTCCAGGTTTTGTTTTACTCGGGTTCTTAACCTTTAAGCTGCTAATCACAAACACGTATGCGCTAAGTGCTCTATTAATATCCATTTTATGGACCTACTGCTTTTTCAGAGCATTAAATGCTCTTGAGGAGCCAGGATAAAATGAATGTGATGGGGACTGGCATTTGGCTAAAGCAAAACAGAGCAGCTGTCGTAAACCTGGTGGTGTTACTCTCTGAGAGAGGCTGGCTGGCTCATGCCTGCTGGGGGAGAAAGGATATTGCAGAGCGATAGCAAGCAGGTTTTTTTTTCTTTAAATGCCTTTGCTCTGAAGCATGTTTCTTTGTTTAAAGAAGAGCATTCACCTTGGATGGCTATTGCTGCATTTATGAGGCTCCCCACTGTGCTCCACTTTTGAGTTACAGGTTACTGCATCGTGTATCGATTTTGCCCAGGTTATCAGATGTCATTAATCTTGCCCTAATGTCAATTCCTACATGGACAGCTGACTGGCTTTGGATGGCACCTCTGAGATGAGGCACAACCTGGGAGTTTGGGATGCACGTGGCAAGGCAGCCAGCCTGAGTATGGTCCCTGGGCCCTTCTCAGGAGCGAGCGGGTTCCTGTCCTCACAGGGAAAGGGTCCAGCTCTTGCCGCAGGAGCCTTCAGCTATGTGCAGCTTTTCCTGCTCCTGATGATTAAAGATCTTGACTTCCCTGGCCCAGCTCACATGGTTCCAAGACAGGAAAAAATGGAATTTGTGTAGTCACTCAAAACATTAATACCAGTGAGGTTAAGAAGTGGAATTATTCAATTATTCTGTTGTAAAGATTGCTTAGAAGGTGAAGACTACTTGACAAACAAAAACTGTTTGGCCAGTGAGCCACATTTTTTTTTTTTTTTTTTTTTTTTTTTTACAAACTGTAAAGTAAAACTGACGGTTGAGTTACTTCCAGATGTATGTGCTGCTTTTCACACTCACTAGACCAAGGGAAGGGGCAGAGCACAGGACCCAGTCCTCACTAACTGATTAGTTCATCTCATGCCAGTATTCCTTGCAGAAAGCTTCTTCGGTAAAGGTACAAAGATGTCCCAAAATAGTATCTTCTGGCATACCAAACATACCAAAATCCAGAAGTGACACTGTCATCCAGGAGATCAGGGTTGTCCCAGCCCAATGTGTTCTGGGATATACTCATGGACCAGGGAAGGGCCATCAGCAATGTTTCACAGAGAAAATGTATGCCTCTTCCCACTCCAGACTAGTTCATAGTGTAGGTACAAGCTTCTAACTTTTCTTTTTTGCATTTGGATTTTA